ACCGAACAACGCACATGTAATGAAATCTGAGCGTCATTCAGTGCAGTAATATTCTAAACCCAGGATGGGAGATGACACACCCCTGGGGGGGGGGGGGGGGGTCCATGACAGCCTTGTCTCATGAAAAGGTTACAGCTGCAGTTAATTTGCCTATATTTTAGTTCCCTCAGTTCCTCCTCTCCTCTCTTATTAAACTGCAAATGCAATTTTTCAGTAAAACCTTTCCCTTTTCATACCTTATTTTAGACACACTGATGTAATCACTGGGCCTCTGTACTTCTATATGCGGGTCTTTGTGCTTCTTTATGCTATAGTGGCAGATTATGTCTAGCAGGGTACTGTCCATAGCTTACCGCCCTCAGCACCTCTCTTAAGAGACCTTGGCCCTGATGCAAACAGTGGGCTGGCTCTTAGGAGGGGTTATGCACATTTTAAAATGCCTTGTTTGGTGGGTGTTAGTCTGGAGCAGTAAGTGTTCCTAGGCATTTAGATGTGAAACACCCACCTACTGTATACTGCTGAGCCTCTATGACTGAAATAAATTCAATGAATGAAAATAGGAAAAGGGACAGTCTGACTGTGGAGGAAAGTCTTGATGATGCTGGACGTCCTCCAGTCAGGAAATGAGGTTGACTCTTCCTAGATTGTAAGCTTGAAAGAGCAGGGCCCTCAATCCCCTCATGTTTTGCATTGTATTGGTATTGTTCTGTCACATGTTCTGTCCCCCTTTGTAATGTACAGCGCTGAGCGAACTATTGGCGCTTTATAAATACTGTATAATAATAATAATAATATCTGACTTGCTGCAGCTTCTAATGCACATTGTGAGAAGCTCACAGTGTGCAGTGAAATCATAATAAGTAATTTCGGACCAGGAGAGGATCCGGTACAACTGTGCAAGACTGAAGGGAAGGTTGGAGATCCGCCTTAATGCAGACCAAACATCACAAATTATCTTGGTATATCTGTTGCTGATGGCTGTGTGGAGTTCTGCGGAAATGCAATCACTTACCTGCTCCTCCACAGACACAGAATGACGCACGCAGGACACTCACCTGAGACTGCGGGAGACGAGTCAAGGAAAGATCTCTGAGTACTCTGCTGATTACACAAGATTTGTTCCCTGGGGCACCGCTGTGTTCAGGTTTCCAGGAAACTGTTATACCAAAACAGAGGAGCTCAGCATGAAATATCAGCTGATTCTCTGTGAAGAAGACGTTCCTGATACAAAATATCAGAGTAAGATGGCTGGGCATTCAGGGGAAGCCATTTACTCAACAAAAAATGTAGAGACAAGTATATATACAGTATATCCCTCTATAAAAGAATTCTAGAGTACATTAAACCAGTAAATAAGAGCAATGGAAAAAATGTATGATATGCTTACAATGGTCATCAAAGATAAAAAATATCTTCGCTTTTTTTTACATGTTTGTGCATATAAATAATTTTTTTGAACATATATATGTTCTCCCCAGGTGCAGTCTTGCACTATCATCATTTCACACACACCATCCATTGTACATTCTTTTGCACATGATAGTTTTCATCCAGTGCGTTTCCTGACACAAAGTCCACTTTTTCAGGGATGTACAGTAAATACAATGCAGATGATATGGGTAAGCTGGTAAAGAAGTGGATAGAAATTTGTTTGATATATCTGTTTCTTTGCAAGATTACCGTACCTAAGTCCTTAGTGCCCAACCTGTGGCCCTTAGGAGCTTATACCAGAGGCAACCGCTACTAATGGAAGCTTTGATTTGTAAACATTCTATAATGGCAGTGATATATCCACAGTCTCTAAAGGTGGCCATACATGGATTCAAATTCGTCTGGTTCAGCAGGGATTTTGATCCACGGGTGCCCACTGTGAATGACCAGAAATGATCTACTGATCAACTTCTGTTCAACCACCCTGTTGGATAAAAGATGCTTGATCAAGCGATAGACTACAGTGCTAATCTGTGCATTTGACAGTAATGGAGTCTCCCCATTGTCAGAATATAATAATGCAGAAGGGAGGATTCCCCCATTCACCACAAATGTGTGGATGGGTGAATCCTCATGTATGGTCAGCTTAAAGTGGAGTTCCATTCACGCTGTCAAAAAATAAAAGTCAGCAGCTAAAAAAACTGTAGCTGCTTACTTTTTAAAAAACAGCCACTTGTTGTCCCTCGGTCCCCGCGGTGTGTCCCCTGCAGCCCGTTTCACCGGCCGTCCTGTATTCCAGGCCAGCATCTTCAGTGTGGGCACCCAGCTGTGATAGCTTGCGGCTTCACAGCCAGGTACCTACTGCGCATGTGTGAGTAGTGCTGTGCTTCATGAATGGTCCTGTAGTCTTCTGGGACCTGTCATGTGTCCCAAAAAAACTACAGGGAGGGAGGGAGGACACCTTCCACTTCCGATCGCCTAGGTGATCGGACCAGAAGTGGGAGTGGGTACCTGTCAAATTTGGGTACCCCGCTCCCCCCCATCCTCCAAAGGTGCCAATCCTTAATGGGGAGCAGGGGAGCAGTCCTTAAAGCGGAACTTCCCCTTTTAGGTGGAGCTCCACTTTAACAGTCTCCTGCAGCATATCTCCAGCCATTAATTAAATGGTACTTTGCACACCAGCAGTGTGTTAGCAGTCTCTGACAATTTTCTATAGCAGGGGTCCCCAAACTATGGCCTGCAGGCCAAATCAGGCCCATTGAAAGATTTTATCTGGGCTCTTGATGCAAGGGGGCTTTCATGGCGATTCTGATGTAAGGGGGCTCTGATGGGGACCCTGAAGTGAGGGGGGACTCTGGTGTAAGGGGACTCTGATAGGGACCCTGATGTGAGGGGGAACTATGATGAACTCAAGTTTATTTGGAGTTTCTTTGCAAGTAAAACTCATTCATTCATTTGAGTTTTATTAATTAATAAGTTCACCTTTGGGAACATATTCCATGTTCCACTAATTTTTAGGGTGAAACATGTTCCCACTCCTGCAGCCTCTCCCTGACCCGCCACCTCTAGTGACAACCAGCTGAGGATCTTCTCCATAATCTTGCTGTCAAAATTTGAAAATGGAAAAAAAAAAAAAAAGTTCTGTGAATGGGAGAACTATGGTTTTAGGCTTGTAGTTCTCAGTTAACTACCAGGGCACTATTGAGCGCTCTAGGTAGTTCATTGTTTCTTCCTGGCATTGTGTAACTGCCTACCTGTATGAGGTACGAGCAGACAGCTTACACTGACAGTCTGGAGGCATCCTGCATTGCCCCCATGATCTGCTGACTGTGGGTGCAATGCTTTGCAGGCTCCTAGCAAAAAAGAAAAAAAATGCATTCACTTTTTTTTACCTGCAAAAAGATGAACATTTATTATTTGTTTACAAAGGCGGACATATTCTTTAATGTATAAAACTGATTTTTTTTTCAGTCTGCGAATATTTGTATTTGCATTCCACATACTGAATATCCTGTGTGCCCCCCTGGGGATGTTAAGCGCCACAGTTAAAGCACATATATGTAGTAGGTTGACCTATATTATCTGAATTGCATCCTTGAAAACGTGGACTTTGTTCTAAGAAGCATATTGGATAAAGTCCAATATGAAAAAAACAAGCGCATATAGGGAATATTAATTTTGGTGCAATGTACACTACTGACAAAGGAACCTCAGAGCCTCCGAAACGCGTTGGCTTGCTGTCTTTGGACTTTTACATTGAAATAGCAATAAGAAATAAATACTCTTGGTCTCCTAAACTTTTGGTGTGTTAATCTTGTTCTCTCTATAGATTTCCATCTTCTCAGCAACTAAACAACCGAAATATTTACTTCCTGTGTCCCCCACTCACCAGGCACAGCAATGCAATGCCGAGAGGGAGTGAGCTCTAATCCTTCTGGACTATGTAAGGGCTCCTTCGCACTGGCAGTAATGCTTACTGCACTCTGAATAGCGATCTGTGGAAGACTGCTTTTCAGCAGACAGCATAGCAATGGCTGGCAGGAGTTCAGGAGAAGCTACTGTTGCCTCCCACAGCCGTTCTTTTTTTTAATCGCTGAATAGCAATTTTACATTGCAGGGTTGCGCTGCATCTGCGAGCTAAGCATTTGGCTTGCGGTTGTGGTACAGCCCCACTGATCTCAATATGAGTGTCTGACAGGGTACAGCCCCACTGATCTCAATATGAGTGTCTGACAGGTGTTGCCCGAATGACAGCCGGAATTAAAACTGCCATGGCTGTGAAGCAAAGCAAGGTGGCCGGCATATGCACAGCCTACTAACGCTGTAATGTTAACACCTTCCCGTCCACTTGTCCCTTTAAACAGTTCAGAATGTCTGGAGGTCGGGAAGGTCAGCGATCATGTTGTCACTGTCACAGTGGTCCCTTGATTGGAAGCCAGTCCCGCCAGCTACTTATCAGTAGTCTGGACCGAGAGCTGGCTGCAACAGCTTGGTTTTTGTGCTGGGAGTGCGCAGTGAGCCCACTCTCAGCACATAAACAGCGGCCCAGTGACACACATGTGCGGCAGGTAAGCATTACAGCCCACCGTTTTGCCGATGCACACATTGTATGTGTCGGGCAGTCGAAAAGGGGTTAAAATTCAAGTGGATGGCTGGAGGAACGTAAAATCGTGGCTCAGCCATCTGTTTCTACTGCCTCCCAACTGCTAATGTCAAAAAGCCCTAACTGTTTGCTCCAAAGCACACAAAGTGAAGTGTCATTGCATTAACCAATTTAAGAATTGGGGGGAGAGATTTACTGAACCTGGTACACTCAGAATCTGGTGCAGCAGTGCATGGCAGCCAATCAGCTTCTAAGTTTAGCTTGTTCAATTAGGCTTTGGTAATAAAACCTGAAAGCCGATTGGTTTCTGTGCAGAGCTGCACCAGATTTTGCACTCTTCAGTTTTAGTAAATAACCCCCATTGTCTTCCACTGTTTGGTGGGGTAGTAGAGAGTTGCATGTCTGGTCAATGTGTGAATCTGGGTTGGGAGGTCATGTGACACTCTTAAGCAACTAGAAAGGATACAATCATCTGGCGGTCGGATGGCGATCGATGACGAAGCTTCTCCAGCTTCTGTAACTCTTTTATTTCCTTGTTCCTCACTGTATTGAATTTCTTGATTTCCGCCTGCAGGGGATGGAGACACTTGAAAGATATTTGGAATGATAACGGCCTAAGCCTGCACAGAAATATGTGACAGCAAAGTGAGCGCTGCTTTATTTCCCTTGATATAAAATAGATTAAAAGCCTAATAGAGCGAGTACATTTTCTGTTATAGATGGAATCTGGTGACAACTGCTGCCTCCTTGGAGCTTCTGCGGCATACAGTAGTTGCAGGTTCTGTTCCTGTTCACATGGTAGTTTGGAGTGTTCCTGTCCATCTTTATGTGGTAGTCAATGTAGGACAGGTAAAAGGACATATAAAAGACAAAGTATCCCCCACAAGGTTTACATTTCCTTACAACTGTACTCACCCGCTTGTCCTTAATCAAAGCACCGTACATTTTCATTGGGTTTACCACCTTGGTTTCAAGGCGCTCCACCTGTAATTGAATAGGGAAGAATTAGAGACAAGTAGAACAGGCAACAACAAGCACCCGATGCCATTTGTGCTCACTGCTGCTATAGGCTGTAATTGACAACTAAGTTGGTCCACTCACCATCCCGGCATCACTGTGCATAGGAAGCCAACTTCCCCACCTACAGTAGTACCCTGCGTTCCTGAAGGTACAGGGTTTGGGGCTTGAGGCCTGAAGTACATGCATAGAATGATCTGAGATATGAATTTAATGTATTGGGGCTGATCTGAGTTCTAAATTGCATGCATTGTAGCCAACCTCAAAATTGTAGCCAGGTCTCAAATACATGCATGCATTGTGGCTGAACTGAGGTCTGAAGTGTGCATACATTGGGGCTGATCTGAGGTCTGAAGGTGCGTGCATTGGGGCTGATCTGAGGTCTGAAGGTGCGTGCATTGGGGCTGATCTGAGGTATGAAGTGCATGCATTGGGGCTGATCTGAGGTCTGAAGGTACGTGCATTGGGGCTGATCTGAGGTCTGAAGGTGCGTGCATTGGGGCTGATCTGAGGTCTGAAGGTGCGTGCTTTGGGGCTGATCTGAGGTCTGAAGGTGCGTGCATTGGGGCTGATCTGAGGTCTGAAGGTGCGTGCATTGGGGCTGATCTGAGGTCTGAAAGTGCGTGCATTGGGGCTGATCTGAGGTCTGAAGGTGCGTGCATTGAGGCTGATCTGAGGTCTGAAGGTGCGTGCATTGGGGCTGATCTGAGGTCTGAAGGTGCGTGCATTGGGGCTGATCTGAGGTCTGAAGGTGCGTGCATTGAGGCTGATCTGAGGTCTGAAGGTGCGTGCATTGGGGCTGATCTGAGGTGTGTAGCTTATGCATTGGGGCTGATCTGAGGTCTGTAGCTTATACATTGGGGCTGATCTGAGGTCTGCAGCTTATACATTGGGGCTGATCTGAGGTCTGAAGGTGTGTGTATTGGTGCTGATCTGAGGTCTGTAATTTATGCATTGGATCTGATCTGAGGTGTGAAGTGCATACATGGGAGTGATCTGAAATCTGTAGTTGATACACTGGGGCTGATTTGAGGTCTGAAGTACATGCACTGTGGCAGGTCTGAGGTCTGTAGTGTATGCATTGGGGCTACACTAAGATCTGTAGTTTATGCAGGTCTTTTTTTCTCAGAAAATAGGAGCAAGAACTCAACCACGACCCCCAAACCCTCCGCCCCCTTCCCCACACACACACACCCTTCAAACGGCATCAAATAGTGGGTGTGGTCAAATTTCACTAACAGCGGGAGGGTCCTAAAGGGGCATTAAATACCGGGAGCGTAATATGTAGAGTTCAGAGGGTTACCACAGAGTGAAGAGTTCAGGGGTGCGCTACGTGTAGAGTTCGGTGGTGTACTGCATACAAAGTGCAGAGTTCAGGGGTGTGCTACACACACACAGAGTGCAGAGTTCAGCCATCTTCCACAGCTTTCCATCCCCCATCAACATCTCACTTTTACCCTTTTTTAGCTCTGACCTCTGCATGCAACCAGGGGTGTATTTACCACAAGGCAAACAAGGCATTTGCCTAGGGCAGCATTTTAAGGGAGGCAGCACCGCTCCCCAGAATAAGGAACAGAAGAAGGAATACACACAGCATGGGGACCAGGAGGGATCCAAGAGAGGCTGTGGGCTGCTTGACAGTATATGCAGAGCCTGACTCTCATTCTTGGGGATGTCTGGAGTTCTGAAGGTGAGTGTCTTTCTCTCTCTTGCTGGGGGGAGGTTGGGGGGGGTGGCCACTGTATGGAGGTGGTGGTAGGGGAAGGCTCTCTCGGGTGGGGGGGTGGGGGGGTGCCAGGCTCTCTCCACGGGGGGGGGAGGGAGGGCGATTTTTGTGTTGCCTAGGGCAGCACAAAACTTCAAAACACACCACTGCATGCAAACCCCCCCCCCCCCCTCCACTGTCTCCATCTTCTTCCCCCTCTTTAAAAGTTCCATCATCTTCCACATATCTTACTTTTGTTGCTGCATTATGCTGAAGCACCCAGTTGGCTCTAGTACCTTCTTGCACACTGTAGGCAGCTCGGCCTATCTCACTGGTAGGGAGATCATCAAGTAGGGGTGTCGTCACCCGCACTGCACCCCAGGCACCTGCATCTCCCTTGTCCCCATCATGCACTCAGTGAGGGCCGCTCAGGAGATCAGATCTGTGGGAGACGTTGGGAGGCAAGTTATCACTTGTAAACACAGAAGCTGGACTTTTGTGTTTACAAGTGATAGTGATGAGCAGGGAGCAGATGGCCTGAGCCAGAGGTGGTGGAAATGAGTTCCACCAAGTTGCAGCTGAAAAAAGCCTTGAGTTCATGTATTGGGGCTGATCTCAGGTCTGATGTACATGCATTGGGGCCAATCTGAGGTCTGAAATGCATGCATCGTGGCTGATCTGAGGTGTGACGTGTATGCATTGAGGCTGATCTGAGATTTGTAGTTTATGCATTGAGGCTAAAATGCATGCATTGGAGTTGATCTGAGGGTCACGCATTGGGGCTGATCTGAGGGGTCACGCATTGGGGCTGATCTGAGGGTCACGCATTGGGGCTGATTCGAGGTCGGAACTCTATGTACTGGACCTGAGGCTTGAAGTGCATGCACTGAGGCTGTTCTAAAGGTCTGAAAGTGCAAGCATTGGGGCTGAGATGAGGTTTGAAGTGCTTGAACCGGGGTAAACATTTTTTGTGTGTGCAGTAGTTAAGCAGTTTTTTTTTTTTTCGCAAACATTACGCAATAATTATTGAGTTTCATTTGTCATTAGCAATACAACTATGAGTGCAAAAATTGAAAACAAACTAAGAATGCAATGTACAGTTGATCCCTGTTACATTGGTTGTCTAATGGTTGTGAAAATAACACGTAATGTGGAAAAGGTTGCTGTCCCCTGCAGTAGAGTCACTCGTCCTGATTGATGGCAATGTTCATGTGTTACCATGTCTAACCTCTCTCCATTTCACTTGACCCTGAGACTCTCTACAACAATTAGCGTTCCTTGTAGAAGGGATTTTATTCCCTCTACATACATGTGTTATCTTCTGCTTTTGGGATATAAGCAGGGGCGGACTGACCATTTGGAAACTCGGGCACTGCCCGAGGGCCCGCGGTCAGTAAGGGGCCCCATGAGATGCCCCTGGTACCTTTTTTATAGGCTTTTTTGAGTTTGGGCAAGGACACAGGGGCCCCATGATCCCCTATTGCCCGGGGGCCCCATGAGTTGTCAGTCCGCCCCTGGATAAAAGGTTTTTTTTTCTCTTATAGTTATACTGATTCTGGGGGAAGGATCGTTCCCGGGAAGAAGAACAAAAGACATCAACCAGTAGTTCACGTCCATCTTGTCATATTTGCCTATTCAGGAATCCAGCATTAGGTCTCCCTTCCAGTATGTGTGGCCTCACAACCATTTGCAGGAGCACATATAATGCCCTAGGTAACACGTTGCTTAGTGTTCTCACAATATGTTGCTATGCCTAAGCAGAGCCCCCCGGTGCCCCCAGAGCTCCTGTGCCCTTAGGGACTCAGTAATCCCTGTGCACTCCAGTACCTTCAGTACTCCTGTGCCTTCAATGACTCTGTGTGTGACCCCTGTGTGCTACAGTAACTCAACAAAAATGCAATGTTCCACAAGGGTCATGTTCTGGGGCAATCACATCATTTGACACATTTCTTATATAGAATGAGGAAAAAAACGAGATTTGTTTTACCATTTGAGCTAAATGCATTGGAGGAAAACAGGAACTGAGCTCAAAAAAGGTAGGCAGAGGGCGAACGACTCATCACCAGTATTGCCTGTTGTCTATCTTTCCTCCATTACTGATTAACCATGCTTATTCTGCACAATGTCTCCAATTGGAGGCAGCCTTCTTGGTAGTAGCAGGGCTTTGCTTTCTCATGTCAGATCCTCCAGCATGGAAAACAGTGAGCAGCACAGTAATGACCAGGGCTTTTTTTTTTTTTTTCTGGAATGAGGTAGAACTTCATTCTACGATTTATGGCAATTGCCCTGTACTCATCTCTCACCACTGTTGCTTGTAAAACACAAAAGCCTGGCTTCTGTGGTTAGAAGTGAAACAGGGCCATGTAAAAGGGCTGCAAAGCATAGCTGTTGAGGGTGGGGATTGGAGAGGTTACAGAAATAAGCTGTGGAAGGGGGGTGCATGCATAGGTGAGATGGTGACATGCGTTAGCTATGTACAGAGGTGAGCTGCAGTCAGGGACTGCAAAGGTGGATTGTGGATGGGGCAAGGGTGCAGAGGTGAGCTGCGGACAGGGACATGGTGAGTGAGTTGCAGAGGTGAGTCAATGTGTTGTGGACAGGGGTGCAGAGGTGAGCTGGGGTCAGAGAGGCAAAAATGAGCTGTGGGTGGGGGGGGAATGCAGAGGCGAGTTGCTGATGGGGGGGGGGGGGGATTAAAGATGTGTTGTGGATGTGGGTGCAGAGATGAGATGAGGACACAGTTGTGGAGGGAGTCACAGAAGTAAGTTGTGGACTGTTGTGGGTGAAGGGGGGGGGGGGGGTTCTGAAGTGAACTGTGGACAGCTATGGATGGGAATCCAGTAAAGAGCTGCAGACCAGGGATGCAGATGTGAGTTGTGGACAGGAGGTGTAGAGGTTAGTTGTAGATGGGGATGCAGAGGTGAGTTGGGGACAGGAGGTGTAGAGGTTAGTTGTAGATGGGGATGCAGAGGGGAGTTGTGGACAGGAGGTGTAGAGGCTAGTTGTAGATGGGGATGCAGAGGTGAGTTGTGGACAGGAGGTGTAGAGGCTAGTTGTAGATGGGGATGCAGAGGTGAGTTGGGGACAGAAGGTGTAGAGGCTAGTTGTAGATGGGGATGCAGAGGTGAGCTTTGGACGGAGGTGTAGAGGTTAGTTGTAGATGGGGATGCAGAGGGGAGTTGTGGACAGGAGGTGTAGAGGCTAGTTGTAGATGGGGATGCAGAGGTGAGCTTTGGACGGAGGTGTAGAGGCTAGTTGTAGA